AATTCGATTGTCTACCATTTCTTGGAATATGAATATGAAAATTTCCCAAAATGTTAATAAAAGTGTCCTCTTTTCAATGAACCAACCCGTTTTGCAAAATAACTGAAAATATGATAAAATTTTCGATGTTGCAATTTTCACCCATAATTTTCAAAATTCGCTATAAAATTAATTTCTTGAAGGATCCTTGTGGAAATATAACCAATTATTAATTAAAGTGTCCCCTTTTTAATGCAACAAGCCATTTTGAAAAATCACTTTCAGTTCTTGAGAAATAAATTTTTGAAATGATCGACAATTTTTTCGAACTTCGCAATTTTTGCCAATTAATTTAAAAAAATTCGTATAAAATCCATTTCTTGGAATATGAGTATGAACATTTTCCAAAGTGTTAATAAGAATGTCCTCTTTCCAATGAACTAACCGGCTTTTTGCAAAATCACATCCAATTCGATAAATAGACGATAAATAGAATGTCGAATTGATGGAAAGATGGGATTAGGGTGGTTGGAATGCTAATTATTTGGGAGAAATATAATTACAAGTAAAAAAAAAAGTTTAAAGCAACATCATTTTATTCTTTCAGAAAGCTTGGATACAAAAAAAATTAGTAAAAAAATATTATATCATCTTTGTTATACATTATGACTATTAGTATTCTTTGAAGCAATAACAAAGTTTTGCAAAATCTATCCCCCTTCATTTGTGACAATAGAATTAAAACTGCTTTGACCATGATTTGAAGCGTGTGGTTTCGATTCGTTGCATAAATTATCTTTAAGAGCTCGCAAAATATTTGCGCATAATAACGTATCATCTTTGTGCATTGGAAAGTCCATTTCTGTTATCTTTACCTTATTAGGCTTCGGGATTCTTAATGGAGCCTCGAGTGCATCCAAAAAATCCGAAAGTTGGTCATGACGAATGTAGCATGTTGCATTAGGATCAAATTGCTGCCAAATTTCAAAGTACATGTCGTAATCTTTATCCGTAAGTATTTCTAAATCATTTTTCGTTTGCGAAAAATTCTCCATAATTATAACAACGCAGATATTGATCACGATTAAGAATGAAATCAATAAGTAGCTTAACAAGAATATTACGGCTATCGTTGTGTACTCTTCCTCGTTGGTGATGTCATTGAGGATGCCGTCCCATCCGGCAGATGTACATAATTGAAATAGCAAAATCATGGATTGCCCGAAAGTCTGGAAGTTATAGACATCGTTGAGTCCATTCACGTGCATAAAGAACGACATTCCGAATATTGCGAAGATGAACATGATCAAAAATAGTACCAAGAAGATGTTGAAGAGTGCTGGGAACGACATGGTTAAGATGGAAAGAAGAAATCGAATCCCTTTCGTTCCATTTAAAAATCGTAAACGGTCTAATTTGATTATTCGAATGATTCGGAGTAAAGTGGGGGATACGAAATATTTTTCGATAATATCAGTGAGTACCAAACCTATAAAAAAAAAGAATTACAAAGAAATTGTGTGTCAAAATGGGATCTTACCCAATATAGATAAAACGACCACGACAAAATCGAACACGTTCCAAGAGTCCTTAAAATAGTGATGACGTAGAGCAAAAAGTTTTATGATGCACTCAATAGTAAAAATTATTATAAAAATTATGTTTAGATAATCGAGGATTTGAGCATATGTTTCGTTCTGTTGGTAGTGGTCGATGCTCATCGTTAACATGTTCAAAACAATTAATATTAGAATAACCATATCGAACTTTTTGTTTGTTACTATTTTAAAGAAAGCTTTTTGTGGGCCCCACTATAATAAAAAAATAACAATATTAAATTAATAAACCTTTAAAATTAAAAAAATAAATTTATACAAATACAAACCGTTGGTGCAGGAATAACTTTTGCTGGTTTCCTAAATCCCATTATCTTTGAGTCATTGTAATACTTTTTTTGTTTATCAGTCATAAATTTATCAAGCGGCGTTTTCGCCTGATTGTAATTATTGATGAGGACTCCAATGAATAAATTCATAGTTAGGAATTTGCCAAAAAGAATGAAAAAGATAAAATACAAATACATATAAATATTAGTTTCTCTAATCGGTTGTTTGAACAATTCTCTTGAGTCAATTGCATCGTTCATGATCTGAATCCAACCTTTGAAGGTTGCTACTTGAAACAGGGAAAGGTATGCGTTCCCCACGTGATCGAAATTCATCCGAGAATTAACCCAAGTATAATTCTGAGTAATGCAAGCATTGTAATCGGGGATAATTTCGTAGTTAAATGTTGTTTCGTATTCATCAACACACTAAAAATTAAAAAAAAAAAATAAATTTATATCAATCAACATCATCAAGTAAAGTTCTTACTTTGAAATATTTTCCAGCAAATAATTGAACTCCCATAATAGCAAAAATCAGCCAGAATATCAAACATACCAATAACACGCTAAAAATAGAAGGGAGCGTTTGGATTAAGGTGGTGACAACGACTTTTATGCGTTTTATTTGAGATATAGCCCGGAGTGGGTATAAAGCTCTAAAAAGTCGAATTAATTTGACGAATTGAACACCACCACCACATAATGTTGCTATAAAATTGATTAACGACACAATAACAACGATAAAATCAACCCAACACCAAGGGTTCGTAAAATAATTTTTTAATCCCACTCCCAACCATTTCATCAACATTTCAATAACAAATATAGCTGCGATTATTGTATGGATGTAAAATAAAACGATTTGCAAAACGGGCCTTTGAGATAATTTGATGTCTTCTAATGTTAATGTTAAACAGCTTATTAAAATTATAGTGGTGATGAAAATTTCAAAATATTTGTTTTCAATTAATTGGAGAAAATTGTGTTGAAGCTTGCTCCAAGAAGATGAATCTCGGGGTTTAGGTAATAATTGAATCTTTTTGGTATCATCGTTTGGTGTTGGTGCCGACAAAAAATTCGAGCTAAAATTACTTACAAGCAAAGCAATAAAAAGATTTATAACCTAAAAAGTAAAACTTAATATACCCAAACAAATATGTAACATCAAATGCTTACCACAAAATTACCAATTACCACAGTTGCCACGAAAAATAGAATGCAAGATACATCTCCCACCAACATACAATCCCACATAGATTCGATCCATTCCCCACATAACGCGCGGAAAACAATCATGAAGGAATGGAGGAAATCTGTGAAATTCCATCTTGGAAGTTCTTCGTTTGGGAATCTATCAACGTTGTCTAAAAATTAATGTGAACGATGTATTTGTAATTAATTATTGGAGTTAGTTACCTATGTAGTTTCGTCCAAACAATTGCATACCCATCACGGCAAATATAAAAATAACAATGCACAATATGAAGGTTAAGTTTCCAACAGCACCCATAGTTTTGCCCATAATTGATAATAACAAGTTGAATGTTGGCCAAGATTTTGCTAATCGTAAAATACGAAGCTGTAATAACATGTTATATTATAAATAAAGATAATACAGGAAACGTACAAAGCAAAATATCATGGCCCGAAATAAATTATCAGATGAAGTGACGAAATACCAGGAGCAGAACTCTGTACAGAGTGTTCCAAGTTCACGTTATAATTGGAGTTTAAAAGGAAACCGACATTCTTTCATGCTATAATTGGAGACCTTGTTGCAAGAAAGAGGTAAGTCCAATTTTTGATCTTATCAACTATTCCAAGTTGTTAGGTGCAAATAAAATGCAAGTTCGTTTATATTTCGTTGCCTAACAAGCTATTTTGACATAATTGGTGTAATAATGATGTAAGTCCGGATTTACCTCTTTCTTGCATCAATTTTAATTGCAAAATCTAGTTTTATAACCTCAAATTATATATTTAACTACTTTTACCGTATATGGTGTAAAAATGGGACACTTATTATATCAAATTATGTAGGTTGAAGTGCCGTGCTGGTTCCGTTCAGTATTACATTTAATAACGTTTAAGCAAATAAGCAAACAGTTTATTATATAAAATCGAATGTGAGGGCAGTTCTAGAACATATCAAATTCGAGAAGTGACGAAAACTTCTGCATACATTCTGCAAAGCTGAATAAATCTACGTCACTATGATGAAGTGACTGGTAGAAAACCCCTAAATAAGACCATCAGTCTTTTAACACATTGCATTGAAAACTATAAATATACTATGAGAGATATATTGCTTATTTTCTTTTACAATAAATAAAGCTTCTTTTTCAATTAATATAAGTAGTTTTAGTTACATATTCATGAAATGACGAAGTTTAGAGACAAAAAAGAGGTAAATCCATTTTATTTATTTAAAAATAATCCACAATTTCGAAAAACAATCTAGTTTTAAAGTGAAAACTTACACACAAGTGCTCAGTGAGTGCTGACAAAAATATTGAGACCTTTTAGAAAAGGTACCTAACGATACTAGAGCTTTTTTTTGATAATCTCGGAAACCATAAATGTAGACTTACCTTGCAGCAAGGTCTTCAATTGGAGTTCAAAACAAAACTGACCAATCCTAACATTTCTTCACGCAATAATTGCGGTTTCTTCATGGTTCATGGTATAATTAGGGCTCAAAAGAAAACCGATATTCCTTCACGCTATAATTGGGATTCAAAAGAAAACCGACATTCCTTCACGTTATAATTGGAGGTCAAAACAAAACTGACCAATCCTAACATTTCTTCACGCAATAATTGCGATTTCTTCACGGTATAATTAGGGTTCAATAAAAAACCGACATTCCTTCACGCTATAATTAGGGATTCAAAACAAAACTGATCTATCCTAACATTTCTTCACGCTATAATTACGATTTCTTCACAGTATAATTAGGGTTCAATAGAAAACTGACATTCCTTCACGCTATAATTAGAGATTCAAAACAAAACTGACCAATCCTAACATTTCTTCACGCTATAATTACGGTTTCTTCGCGGTATAATTAAGGTTCAATAGAAAACCGACATTCCTTCACGCTATAATTAGAGATTCAAAACAAAACTGACCAATCCTAACATTTCTTCACGCTATAATTACGGTTTCTTCACGGTATAATTAGGGTTCAATAGAAAACCGACATTCCTTCACGCTATAATTAGAGGTTCAAAACAAAACTGACCTATCCTAACATTCCTTCACGCTATAATTGAGGTTCAATAGAAAACCGACATTCCTTCACGCTATAATTGGAGTTCCAACGAAAACTGACTTATCCTAACATTTTTTCACCCTATAATTGCGGTTTGTTCACAGTATAATGAGTGTTTAAAAGAAGACCGACATTCCTTCACACTATAATTGGAATTCAAAACAAAACTGACCAATCCTAACATTCCTTCACGGTATAATTGAGGTTCAATAGAAAACCGACATTCCTTCACGCTATAATTGGAGTTCCAACGAAAACTGACTTATCCTAACATTTCTTCATCCTATAATTGCGGTTTCTTCACAGTATAATTAGGGTTCAAAAGAAAATCGACATTCCTTTACACTATAATTGGAATTCAAAACAAAACTGACCTATCCTAACATTCCTTCACGGTATAATTGGAGTTTCTTCACGCTATAACTATGGTTCAATAGAAAACCGACATTCCTTCACGCTATAATTGGAGTTCAAAGCAAAACTGACCTATCCTAACATTTCTTCACGCTATAATTAGGGTTTTAAAAGAAAACTACCTGTCTTAACATTCCTTCACGCGGTAATTGGGGTTTCAAAAGAAAACTACCTGTCTTAACATTCCTTCACGCTATAATTGGGTTTTCAAAAGAAAACTTGAGTTGATTGACATTTGTAAACAAAACTAACCTAACTCAACTTTTCTTTTCTGGAAGTTTTATTTGAGTTTTTATTTTTGGATGAAAGCGTGAAAATCGTTAACTACATTAAGCCGGCTTGACATGGGTAGTGAATCACGAACGTGAGCTACGCTTTCGTAAGCTACGCTCCGTGTCAACTACTAGATTCGTGAAATACGAAGCGTAAATACTTTTCACGAACGGAAATAATTCCGATCGTGAAAATATTAAACCTGTTTGATTTTTGTATCTTGTGGTCAGTCGTGAGCAGAGCAGGAGGACAGTAAATTGTTAAATTATGGCTGCTCATACACTGATGGAAATAATTCACGAGCACACCCTGTATAATCTGAACGCGTGTGTCTAGCGCAATAAAATTTGGTATGGAAGTAGTACTAAAGTAGTATAACTTACTCTCATATGGAGAACGGCGCAACTCTGCTGGGACGACAAACATCAATAGCGAGAGTATCCTCCGTGAGCTTCGCGTACCATCGCTACACGACGTGACATGGAGTCTATAAGTCGCTATATTGTAGCGAAAGGGATGGCCAACCATGCCACCTCAACTCGCCTCCATAGCTCCTCAACGTTAGCCGAGGAAGCCGGATAACGTAGAGGTCTCCGACCAGTCATGTCCCAAACATATTCGATCGGATTCAGATGCGGAAACCGAACAAGCCATGGAAGCATTCGTATACGATGCTCTTCCACAAAGGTCTGTACAACGCGCCCGATGTGCTGTCGTACGTTGTCGTGCATGTATAGCAGACATGGGAGCCGCCGAACGTAGGGAAGCACAACGGACCGTAGTATCTCATCTACGTATCGTTGACCTGTCATGGTCTGCTATACACGCAGCAGAATCGGAGTATGCTATAAGAAAGCTTTTATAACAAAAATTGTTGCAAATTTTATTGTTAACAATATTGCTCTCTTGCACTTTTGTTCTTAGATACATCAATATCGAGATAGATACGAAAATATGAAAATTTGATGAATTTGTTGCTCTTTCAAGTTATTAAAGGTAACACTTGAGAATCGGAGCTTGCTATAAGAAAACTTTTATAACAAAAATTGTTGCAAATTT